TCGTCGTGTGTGATGTCAAGGCAAGCCAAGATATCTGGATCAGGCGCCTTAAAAAACTACGGTCAAGGGAATTTAAAGAACCAGGCAAAATACCTCTCACTCCATTTGCCGTTGAATATTTTTCGACTTCCGCCAGTACCTCTAAAAGAGACTACTGTCTCATCTACTCAAGCGGAACATCCTTCACGTTCAGTGTTTGTACATCGAGGTGCTCTACACGCAAATGGAGACAACCAAAAAAATTTGAAGTAAACCTTCGGTTGTATCGCTAATAAATTTTCTAAGACTGGGTGCTAGAATTTCATAAAAATATCTCAAAAATTATTCTGATAGGTCACATCCTATCAGTAAACGCGAAATCATGTTTCCTGAATTTTCACATATTTTGGACTGTTCACATTCATCAAATCTATCTTCCAGGTATTGAGAGGATGGTGATGCCTCTGTAGTTTCCACATTTGCTGAGATATCCTTTCTTTAGTACACTGGTGTACACCTTTCCAGTCTATAGGTATTTGTTCTTCATGCGAAATCCGATTAAAGAGAACATGGAGTATCTCTGCAGTTGTTGCTACGTCTGGTTTCAGTGCTTCGTTGAGGCTGGTCGTTTCAAGAGTTCCTTAAAGTGTTCTACGCACCTGTTTCTTTGTTCCTCAATATGGGTGATTGAAGCCGTCACTGCTAGAGCTTCCACATATTTACGTATGCCAGCTCTGATGCTCCTCTCTACATGTTTATTTGATCCAGCGTATGCAGCTTGTTCCCTGGTTAGCTCTGCTCATGTTCAGCTGGTGGTGACTGCTACCTTCTTGTTCCTCCAGTCTTCAATCTCATCCAATGTATCAACAGTTATCCATTCCTTTTGATGGTGTTTCTTGTGGCCCACAATCTCATGACATGTTGGGGTGAGCGTTTCCTTGATTCCCTTTCGGCTGTTCTCCATGGTAGTTTCCTCTCCGTTGAGTGGATCGTAAATGGCTCAAAACCTGTTTCTAAGGGCTATCTTCAACTCATATTGTCTCAGGATTTCTTAATATCCAGCGTTGTTCATTCCGACCTTGACATTTAAGCCTCTAACCAGAATGGTCAAGTTCTTTGATGGACGTTTCTCGATGACTGATTGCATCCTCTCGCAGAATTGATCTTTAACGTCTTTGTTGTAGTCGGTGGCAGGTGCATAGTATTGGATGGTGTTCATTGTAGCGCCCTCTTTCTTTGTTTCGAAAGATGATAGATGGCCAGTATCTCACTAGTTTCGTGACGGTCGGTATCCAACCTGTTATTAGACTTCGTAATTTGCTCGTCTATACAACCGTTACTAAACAGTGCCTCATGGTTTATAAATCAGAAGGCGAATACGAAGTGTTAAATACGTCTACTTGGTACACCACAATTAGACCAGTAGACCACACGCACAAGGTGCGGAAGACGATCAGGCTAGAAAGTAAGCAAATTGGAGAATGAATTGATAGGACTAAAATGTACATATATACATAGGAAAATGGCTCAGCCATTGAAATGTTTTAGGTCAACATTAAAGCGGGTACGATGAATATTTGCGTATGCGGTAAACAACGCTCAGTCGTACCAGCTCATACAAACCAGACAACACTAAATGTCAACGACACATATAAGTTGTTGCTATACAAATGGCTTGGTTAAATTAGCTAATCGAAAGGCTAAACGAAATAAAATATGAGCGGACTAAAATATATGTGGAGGCACTGCAATTGCTGCCTTCTAGCAAACAAGGATACTAAGATATCTTTGTTAGCAGGAAAAAATACTTCAATGTTTTCAGGTTTGAACACCTTGACATCGGAACACCTAAAAGGTATGGAGTGCATTAAGTGATAAGATAATATTTGGTTTCTTTATAACAGAATATTTCCCATTCAGGAAGAGTGCTTCAATTCACAATCAAAATACACAATTCCAGTCAGTGCAATCAATCCAAGTCAAAAGAGGAACAAATAAATACGGCTGTCGCCATAACTAAGTATCAGCTCATACAACATAATGCAGTTCAGAAAGAAATATCGAAACTCAGTAAAGGCACAAAAATAGAAACTATAGTAAAATACAAATATTATCATCTCGAAATGGAATCGAACAGATTAGCAAAATGTACAGTTGAAGGAGTCATTAATGACATATTACAAGTGTATTCATAATGAAATTTTCACAATCAAAGCCCTCAAAATGGATCTTACATGCGGGAACATGTACATATGTCTACAAGAAACGCGAACATTCTCGGCTTCATATTTTTTCATGATGTAACGCGGTGGTCTGCGAATAGTTTCCCAACAGTCATCATAAATAAATGCAGCCTACCGTCACCCCCAAAATTCGACAAAAATCCAAAACAATGGCGAGTCTTAAAGACAGAGTCTATGAACACGCTGAAAAGGAAGATTTCTAATATCTAATTCAATACTGAGACGAGACTAAATTTTTACCAGTCTTGAACTTTATGAAACATTACATGTATTGACTGTCATTGTTATATCGTCAGTAGACTCTTCTATCACCTATACAACGTCTTTCGAAACAAAAACTCCTTATATACACCGAAAACTAGGGACAAGCTTTCTAAATTATACGTGCATATTGCACAATAAGAGACTTCAGCATCCTGAGGTTAATTTGCTCTGTACTTGAGGGTCTAAAAAATCACCAAGAAAAGCGTAAACGAATAGAGGAACGTTACGCATTCAGTACTGCATGTAAATCCCAAATCTCTGTCTCCCGCGAGAAAAACGCACTAAAATGAAAGCAGATAACAACATCCATTTTATACTGAATAATAATAATAATAATAATAGTTTATTTTCAAATAAAATGTTACGAGGAGCATGCCAATTTACAGGTGAGACCAAAATGTTGAGATAGCTAACGTATTTTATGTAAAACGTCGCTAAGTTATTGAAATATTTCACAAGATACATTGGCTTCATATAGATGGCTGACAATAAGGTAGTCTACTGCCCTTGTGAGTCGTCGCTCAGTCACCATCATTTGTTACTTAACCTCTTGTGATCATTAATCCCCAGCCTGGAAATCCGTTACTCCGTCTGAATGTGACATATCTCTATCGACACTCATAATTTTGTACAGTCCTGTATTGCCTATCATCAGTTTTAATGTTCTCACATGCAATTTTTTCGCCTACCACTGTTTCCATCTCTTTGTTCATCGCTCCAATCACAATTACAATACTCCTACACTTCCACGCTTACTTCACTAATCGCCATTGCCCCTACATTCTGAATTTTTATGGTCTTTTTGAAAACGTTGTTCTTTTCTCATAAACAGCTAACTCTGTTGCGCAGATGCTTAGCCCGTAGTTCATAGGTTGTAATAGCCGGACAAGCTTGTGCAGAGGAAACTGCAGAAACATTGTTTTCAAAAGGGTTTGAAATTTAGGGCCTCGAGTAGAACACAATATGTTGTCTAACAGACACTTTAACTGAGCCTATCAACACAGAATGAGGAATGGTATAGTTACTGACCAACAAACATTGATGATGAGGGCGATGACTTCAATCCGCCCGTGTTTGTAGGGCAGAACATTTCGTTTGTTTCCGGCACTGCCAGGACGACTAATCAGTAATGCTGAGGTTGCTGTTATACGCTTGATACTCCTGAGACTAATGTTTCCAAAACTATGCCGAGGTCAATATTCCGCCAAGACAAGCCGCAACATTCTTACTCAGGAACTTACAGTATGAAATCAAGGTTGGCATTTGATGAAAAATCTGGACAGTGAAAAATATAATTATCATTGTTTTTTTACAAACTTTACTCTTCTCACTGAACTTTCAGTTTCATTGTATGGACAACGAGCTTCTTACTTCACCTTCTCTTCTATCCATTTGACATACTCAACAAGCCTTACCTCTTCATTGATATATTAAAACAGATTACTTTAGGATAAATAGTCTGTATGAATTCTATCTTCTGGTTTACCATTGCTTTTTCTGCTCCACTATGAACGGTTAAAAAAATGTCGTGGTGAAATGTTCAATCGCCTCGTTACTATTTTTTCATTTCTAGCTGGTTTATCCCTTCTGAGAACACTATCAGCAGTGAACAGCCATAACGCTTCTAGGCGAAATGCAACTTACTTGCACGCTCGTCTAGGTCACAACTCATTGAAACAGACACTTTATAACAAATGAAATCCTAAAATCTGCCAACCACCCAAGAACTCTGCTGTGGACTAATCCTATCCATGATCACTTGTTGAAAATATGGCTGTATCATACGGTTCCTATGAGTGACTTTGGGTACATGCGTCATCATAAACAGATTCTACTTTCGATTCCAACTGCGCGACCTCTTATAGTATATCTAGTAGCACCAGTTACAATTTGATCTTGCCAATAAACAAACAGGCCTCATTTAACAAATTATTAACTGAGGACAATAAATTTTATTATGCATCATTATATTTTTTCCACAATTTTAGTAGTTCTTAATACTCATGAAAGTTTCAGACGGACTTATGAACAGACTTCAGTGCATATTCACTAAAAATATCTCTAGGAGCATTGGTAGTTTTTCGGCATTTCTGAGTTCTGTTCAAGTCTCTGATGAAATGACTGTGATCTCCCTCAACCTGATGATGATGGTGTCGAATTCGAACGAGCTTCATATTCTTATGAACTCATATTGCCACTGAGTTTATTTTAGTGTAATGAAACTGTCGATGATAGTCGACGAGGTATAAATAATTGAATTAATACTGTTAGAGCAATCCTCTGATAAGTGCAAAGAAACCAAACGATTTGTAGTAGATCGACTTAAAGATTTTGTATAGCTGCTGGTATACTGAGACACTACTGCCCTAAAACAAACGTATTCATTCAAATCACGTGACATACAAACTCAACAAGAACTGCCAACAGTTTAGAATCAGGTAGTAGAATGGCTAAACCTCCATCCATTGAAAACTACCAAACACACGGAAAGAACAGGAATCAAGCGCAAAGGAATCAATTGGCTTATACCAGCTCGTGAGAAAGATATTGGATATTGGAAAATGGAGTGTGTGTTGACCGAGGTCTTCTAGCGCGCATCTTCGAATTCTTTGTTCCTCAGCTGGACAAATGGCCGTGAGGCGTATAACTAAGGTAAGGGTGTTCTACTTATTTTTGTTCAACTACATTGTTTTCCTAAGGAACTAAATGATTTGACTCGAGATCCTCCAGCACAGTGTTCAGCTGGGCCTTCTCAAGATCGTAAGTTAGTATATACTATCTCAGTTTACATTTAGTATTTAACTGGCAAGGCACTATTTTGGGACCTGTAGGTTCTTTCATTTTGTAATCATGTACAATAGGTCGATAGTCCATATGAAGGTGGAGTGTTTTTCCTGAAAATATCATTTCCCTCAGATTACCCTTTTAAACCACCTAAGGTAAGCCTGGTGGTTTATTAAGGCTAATCCTAATCAAAGGTCAATTTCACCACGAAGATATATCATCCAAATATAAATACCAATGGCAGTATATGTTTAGATATCCTCCGAAGCCAGTGGTCTCCTGCCCTTACAATATCAAAAGGTATTCAGTCGTATATAAGTACTAAATTTACGCCTAAATTAGTTCTGCTTTCAATTTGCTCGTTACTGACAGACCCCAATCCAGATGATCCTCTATGCCCAGATGTTGCACGTCAATACAAATCAGACCGCAAAAAGTATGATGATTTAGCCAGGGAGTGGACACAAAAGTATGCTATGTGAGAACGAAGCCAGTTATTCTACACAAAACATTTTGATAAACGTATTTTCTGCCTCCTTCTTGTACTCACTGATCGGTCAATTTGTTTGAGCCCTTGAGTAACTACTTATTTGATTTCTAATGGTCTGTCAGTTGTGTGTCTGTGAAAACATTCTTATGTTTGTTCTGAGTATTTCTTCTTTATTTCAACAAGAGTTGTTCCGTTTTTAGTGACAGTTGTCATTACAGGCTGGTTTACTTATACATTTTTTACTTGTTTCAGCATTTAATTGTATCAATTCACTTCATGGAAATTCATTTCTTGGGCCATTGCCACTCGTGATACTCATCATCTAATCTACTGAGAATCAAGTAGTCTGTTAATATTTGATCAAAGCTATTAAAACTTGTATTTATCTAAGCGGTTCCTTTAAGTCACAGTTTGATTTCATGTTGGGAATAAGACCACATGTAATTTTCGGTAGTGTGTTTACTCGTGTTAAGGTGTTAATTATCGTTGGTATAATAGGATTTCGTGGTCGTATAGCGTTTCCTAGTGATGTTCTAAGTCTCCGGTTACGTTGTCGCACGTCAGTCTTAACGCCGTCTCTGCATGACTGTCATTGAGTAACGACATGAGAGGGATTAACTCATAGTGACTGCTGTGTACATTGCTAATGTATACCGACGGAGCATAGCGAACCAACTAATGACTTAGTCCTCTCTCGGTCCACAATTTCACTCCTAAAGGCTGGAAATATTTGAGTCCCGAAACACTAGTCAGACCCTGTTGAGCCTTAACACGAATCGCGTATGGTTTAGTAAGAACTAGTTCAAAGGATTGGTACTGGAAAACCGTATTTGTCGGTATCGGTCTTACACTGTGTAGTTGTGGCTAGACTTTTGGAAGCTTGTGAATATGTGACTAGTATCCATATTGGATAGTGCAGACCGTAATGATGCTTGATTGGGATAGTACTGCCGACTAGTAGTCTCTCTTATTCTCATCACTTCTTAGTTTCAGCATGGTTTTCAACCCTGAAATGTATCTGTTGCCACTCATAATATGCATTTGGTTAAATAGATATGTTGAGATTCTTTAGCTCAAACCGATCATCTGTTAGGATCTGTACTCAAAACTCATTTTATTCTAGTTCCTTATATCGGGAGCCGTTTGTTGTGGTGTTATCTGTCTGCAGCATAAACGTTTGCATTAGCGGTGCCGTGAGCTGAAGGGATGCTACTAGAGTTAGTCGTAGAGATTAGAGAGATATTAGGGGGGGGGTAAGAAGGATTTGATTTTGACTAATTCGGTCCCCCGTGCTGTTACGGGTATAAAGGCGGTTGTCACTCACCGGCTGCCCACACCGTTGGAGGTTGTGTCTTGAGGGACCTGAAAAGGAAGGAAGATTAGACATAGGTGCGTGACCCCAGAGGACAACTGCTTGAGGCCGGTCATTCACGGCCTTTTAATGAAAGGTATTTTTAATATTAGCTCCGCTCTTAAAGGCCCTTTTTGGGCACCATTACCGCCGGAGACGGAAATCCGTGAGGTGTGACATTTTTGGTGTCGACCTTTCCTAACCCTTCCTTCCTTGTGAAAAGGGAGTATCGCTGCAGTTGCTGGTTGTCCGAGGGAAACACCTTACTGCTGTCACACCCCTCTTGGATTTGAACTGACAGTTACGTCTCTGTGCTGACGTGGTATGGCAACCTGAACTTATGTACGAAGTTCTGCGTTGTATCTGTCTGCAGCATAAACGTTTTAATTCGAAAGGTTATCTTAGCACAGTCTTCGGTCTTCTGAAAATGAATTAACGAGTGTCTTCACGTAAACTGTTGAAATAGATGCAGACATAACCTCCAAAGCACTGTTGAAACTAAGTAGACTGTTTGATCTTAGCAACATACCTGAAGTAAGCGGTTATCCCCAGTTGACTGTCGTCTTCTCAGATCTTGATTGGTAATCACTATTACAGAGAATATATTTTAACCGTTCAGCCTCTGGCTTTATAAAATGCACAACTAAGTTCTAGGCACTGTATATCTTAAATCTAGTTTAGTTTTCCGTTTCAGACCTAGACCTCCGTGTCTTTATGCAGTTGAAAAAGCTCTAGGGTATCTGAAGTGAGGGTGAGCAGTAGAACCTGACAGGTTCACTCCTGATGGTCCAGTTTTGGCAGTTAAATTGACTGAGATCTTAGGTTAAATCTGGTAACTGGACGTAATCCTATCTGAATGGTCTCGATCGCTAAATGTCCCAATTTGTAAGAAAGGACAAAAGTCCTCTTGTGACAATCACAGAGGAATCAGTCTAACCAATACAGTATCTAAAATTTAGGCCTCAATAATACTCTGACGCTTAACGAAAGCTCGTGAAAAACATACTCGAGTAAACTGGGCCGGTTTTCGATCTGGACGTGAATGTATAGACGAGATATTCACACTACGTCAGGTCCTAGAACGAAGACACACGTTCAGACGCACCACAATAGTAGTATTTCTCGACCTTAAAGCGGCATTTGACTCTGTCTATCGTAAGGCTATTTGCCATTGTCTATCATTAAGAGGTGTACCAAAGAAGTACATTAACCTTATACAAGCTACTCTATTGGTCGAGTAAGAGCTTACGGAGAACTGTCATCGGAATTCAATACTTCGAGTGGTGTCCGTCAGGGCTGTCCACTATCCCATTCTTGTTTAATTTTTTCATAGACGTACTTTTAGAGTTAACATTATCTTCTGACTTTTCAGGGATGGACCTTCGACGAGGTGATACGCTTGTTTAATAAAAGCTTGCGCATGGAATAGTTCTATTTATTGAAGACGCTGACAAAATGCAGAATCTTCTGACTGCCTAAAGCAACAATGCAAGCATGTTAGGATGCCTTCCTCCCTTGAAATGCAAGATACTGCTTCAAGATTGGGTTGCATCGGCACCGGAACTAATGATAGGGAGTGGGATAGTCAAGCATCTAGACCGCCTCACTTATCTTGATAGTCTCATCAGTGCTGATGTCCTGGTGACTGATGAAATCTCCGCACGGATACAGAAGGCTCTACTGGCCAAAGGACAGGTGTACTGCACAACAGTTCGCTACTTCTTACTTGTTGGTTGGGAAACGGCCAGTGAGAGTAGAAGATATTCGTAGGTTACTGGTTTTCGACCATGGGTGTCGCCGACGCATTGCTCGTGTATCTTGGGATTATTGAGTGAGTAGCTAAGGATGGCAGATCAATAAATAAAGTATTGGGACTTCAGTTGAGGTGATTGGGACGTGTGTTACATATGCCTAATCACTGACTGCCTTGACGAGCGATGTTTTGTAGTGTAGGAATAGGTTGGAAGAAAGTTAGGGACGGCCAGACTGAAACATTTCATAAATCCATGAAGTCACTGACAACTGGATTTAGTGATGTTGGTAGATGTAGGCTATCTGGTTGGGGTCCGCGAGACGAAAGTCACCGATGGTTAGAGACCCTGGATGACATGGCTCAAAACCGTTTGTGATGGAGCAGGTGAATTTATTCTTTGTGTTCTCTCAAATTCTAACCTTCTGAATTCCTCACCACCTTTGTCTTTCTCTTCCTAAAGTTATCTCACTGAATTATACTTCTTGAATAATATCTTCACTCCCTAATCTTTTCCATTACCGGTAATACTTCCACTATTTCTGCCACTATGGGATTTGAACTGATAGTTTCATCTCTGTGCTAATGAGGTATGAGAACCTGAACTGATGTGCCTTCGTACAAAGTTTTTACGTTGTAACTGACTGACTGACCTAGGTAAGGTGCCTCCCTAATACAACCAGCATCTACGGTGATGCTGTCTTCCCACAACTGAAGGAAGGGTTTAGAAAGGTCGACGCGGAAAATGTCACAATTCACTCTATTCCAAAGGTTCCTGTCTCTTGCAGAGATGCCAGTGCGGCATATAAGCTCGGTGTATCTGGAAGCCTCAATGGCCTAGGTATATCGTTAGGTTCTAGGGCAGAAATAGCTCTCTTAGACTCGGAATAATAGGGAGACTCACTGTCGTCTCTTCGTTATTTCTGCCTATTCTCCAACCAGTTGCAGTTTAGATGAAGTAAAAGATGTATTTAACAAAATGCTTTCCAACCTTTTTCAAGAGGTTAAGCGCTCTGATGTGAAATATAGGCTGGTGACTTGAAAGCTCAGGTAGGTAGAATACGTGGAGCGGAAAAACACCTGATAGCAAATAAGAGCTCTACGCAATATTCACAAACAGTGGTGGCTAACGAAAGCAAAAGAGCTGGAAAAGGCGGCAGCGATAGGTAACATCAGACAATTATTCAGAATTATCAAGTAAACTGATATTAGGGATACGACTGTTAGCGAGACTATCTCAAAAAATGATGTGCATATTATTCATTCTCAATCCAGGAGATTGGATTGAGGGGGAGAACACCTTGGCCTGCAGCCACACTTCGGTTACCTACGATCGCCATTCAACCTGAATGGCAAACTGATAGAGGTCCTTTAACTCTTGCTTTCGCTATTCACCGCTGTTCGTAGTCATTACGTAGACTTCTTATCAGCCTGCTCTTAAGTTGGTTCAGGTCGTCATTATGTTCAGATCTAGATGAGATAAATTTCCGAGTATCTATCAGTTCAGTAGTTGCTGGTGATATTCATTGCTTCCCCTTAGCCTTATGGTTCGTTCACCTTACTAGTAGATATCACTGCTGTTTCTACAGCTTTCTGGATATCATTCCAAGCTGCCTTAGGGTGGGCATCACCCACATGTTTTTTTTATAGTCGCTCCTGAAATACATTTTTAGTTTTGTTATCATTAAGTGGTACCCCAAGAGGTTTCCTTACAGTGTCTTTTCTACATCCAGTAGGAGGCAGACACTAGAGCATTATCTGAATCTAAACTTATACTCCAGAATGAGCGGTAGTCTTCAATAGAGCGTCTTCATTGGTGGTTAGTGACGAAGTGATCTTGTTGCATTGATTTGTGAAATTAAAAACTAAACGGTGATTAGTATTCATGATTAGAATATCTTACTGTATAGGGAAGAATGTATAGCATCATTGAATGAAAAGTTATTTAGAGTTGTTGTTAAATTACACCCTACAACGACGTGATAGTAAGTAATAGACAATTTGGTGGAAATCAATTTCATATGT